TTTGTCTGAATTTCTGAGATAAGGAATTACCATTATTTACACTATTTACATTCAGACTATTGTCCTCATCTTTGTTGTTATTATCACAACATTTCAGCCAGTGTGCCCTCCTACAGGACAATAGCCTAATGGATTGCAGTGGTTTGTGAATTTGATGACGTAGTGATTGTGAGTTCAATCCCCGGATCAGGCAGTGTGTACTTTTACTCAGTGGAAATAGTTAAATGAGCTTCATACACGAAATTTGAGTCCAGTCACAAGAAATTCATAAAGATGACTCATTTCAATATGGATGCAGGGTGGAGCCAAGGATAGTGGCTTGGATTGAGAAGTTTGGATTCAAATTTTAATCAAGCTTGTTAAATTCTCTTACATGCAAATACCTTTGGAAAAGGTATGTATCCATCTCTTCTCCTGCCAGCTATGGGTAACGAGCAGGACAGATTGGGTCCTACAACCTTGCTCAAATTCAAAATCTAAGGGGACTAAACCAGCTAACACTGGTCTGGGGAGGAGGACCCTAGCAGCACAAAAAACAAGGGCTGTTAAAAGGCAGATAAAATCCTCACCAACCTGCAATTCGTTGTGTGTGGGGAGTACAGCTGAACCCCTGAAGATAATGGCAATATGGGAGGGGATTTTCACAGTATCATTCATTTAAAGAACTTTTCTCCTGTAATGGACTATCATCTACAAAAGGGGCATTTTATAAATATGTGTGTGTGTGTGTGTCTTTTGCTGTATCAAAGCTCATCAGTGTGGCTAGACATCTGATTGCCTCAAGCCAGGATCAAAACCCAACTAATTTGGCATCAGTCAGAGATTTTCCCCTGAGCTATCAGCTCCCAGCCAAGAGAAAGGTGAATTTTTACATATTTATTTTAGAATACGCATGCCAGTGACTCAGAGTGCTCAATTCATAGGAGAGCTATAGCATCAGCAGTAGCAGTCACCGTTTACAAATTTGCACTTTTCCCTCTAAAATGCTTGACTGAATTTTATTGGGGGGGGGCATATATATGCGTCATATATTGATACACACATTATATATATATATATATATGGCCTGACGATTGTATATAGCATGAAACAGACTGTCGCCTCTAAGTGTTGACATCTATGTTCACTTTTATATTTACACGCTCTATCTCTGATATTGAGCACTTTATTCCATAAATATAGCATACCTTAAGACTATATTTCTTTATATATATATATATATATATATATATATATATATATATATGTGTGTGTGTGTGTGTGTGTGTGTGTGTGTACGTGTGTGTGAGAATAAAGACAAAAGGAAATCTTATCTTAGCCGACACATTTCATCCTCTGAAAAACTTGCAGAAATTTAAGAAAACATATCTATGAACACAAAAGGGATCTTATACATAACAATTTATCATATAGATTAGTTATACATAAATAAATTCAACCCCAACTTTGATTGAAAACATGTCAGACTTATTAAAAGAGAAAGTGACTGAGAAGGAAAATTCTCAAGAGTGTCCCAGATTTCTTCAAATATTTCCATTCCTGAAAAAATTACTCCCTTCCCAAGTCAATATACATGACTACAAAAACATTAAAAGAGAGCAAATTCATAACTCCTTGTTATTTAAGATATATAACATAAATCAATCTCAAACTAAAGTAATTTAACTATTAACTTGTATAAAAAAAATTCATGAACATCATTTACTCACTTTCATTTATTAGACATTGAAGTACGTCACTTGCATCCTCTATAGATTTACCTAGACTTTTCAGCTAACCTGATGAATATTTACGAATAGTTTTAAATTTAAAAATTTTGGAAAACCAATAAAGTAAAATCCTCACATTTGCCTTAATAAAAGTCCTTCAAAGAACTAAACACAGCAGCTAAGATAAGTATTCACTTGGTCTTTATATTATATATATATATATATTAAAAAGAAGATAAACTGCAAATGCTTTTGTTTGAATTGTGGATTTTCCATTTTAAAATATATATTATACTCTATTTTCCATAATTCTGCTACACAAGTTTCTGGTTTTGCGACCTTCTTCAAGCAAAGATTAGATATTTCCATATATTATAAAAATGAATTTTTGCATGGTAGTGATTCAAATGTCTTTCTTGGACTGGTGATAAGAATTTATATATATATATATATATATATATATATTGCATATAGTCCTCTTGGTTGTTTTTATTATTAACAGTTATTATTATCATATTTAATATCATATTTATTATTATCATATTAACAAGAGAAATATAAACTCTTATCACCAGTCCAAGAGAGAAAAAAAAGTAGTACTCACCTTTGGTAAATCCGATGACTTTTCACACTGTAAATTGACCTGAAAGGGAATAAAAGTTTAGTTTTCAAAGAATTCATTCCAACAAAGAAAAAAATGTAAAGAATTACAGAAAATTTGCTAAAATGCAGGAAGCGATGAAAGGTAATGGTGAATAAAATAAATAAAAACAAATTATTTTTGCAGGTCTCTGAATTAATCTTCAAGGTGCAAATATATATATATATATATATATATTTTATAGGTTGTGGGACAAAAGGGGAATAAAGCTTTGCAGTAAAATCCAAGTGTACAGAGCTGTCATTTTGTCAACTCATTTGTATGGCACTGAAAATTGGACACCTTATAGATGGCATATTAAACGATTAGATGTCTGCCATAAAGGTTTTTTCCGTACAATCTGTGGTCTAATGTTTGATGATCAAGTATCAAATGCCTACCTTTTTGAGAAATGCAAGACTGGTACCATCAAGACCTTCATAATGCAATCACAACTATTTTGGACTGGACATGTGACAAGGATGAGTGATGATTGTATGCCAAATGTTCTTTTTTACAGTCAACTCCATAATGGTTATAGAAATGTTGGTAGACTTTGGCTCAGGTATAAAGATAAAGTGAAAAGCAACCTTTTTTGCATCAACATTTCCATTCAAGAACTTTGAAGAGGTAGCTATGAAGAGATCAGAGTATCGTTCTAGCTGCCATGCAGGAATAATACACCATCAAGAAGTAAGCATCAGTCAACTGCATGAAACATGAAAGCAAAATAAGACAGCTAACAGTGTTCCTGCTGCACTTGGATACAATGCTTTCTCCTGTACTGTTTGTGGTCTTTTGTGCAATTCTTGAGCCGGATTCAAAAGTCAGGCCAGTCATAGGTATGTAGATTGTGGTCATTGGAACCTCATACATTGAACTTGATCGGAGAGTTCATCATATATATATAACTAGCATAAAAGCTGCTTTTTCAGGTGGCATTTAAACTAGCTCCTGTGGAAGGCTCTCGATTTGGCCTTCATCACAATCGGTAGGGAGGAGTAGATGTGATAGGCAACAATAAACTACAAAAAGAACTCAAAAACTCATAATTGATCGCTGCATTTAAGTATTGCAATAATATTTAAGCTTACCTTTAAAAAGTTTGACAATAATTCTTCTGCCACCACTTAATTGAAAGACAATTTGATGTATGTTGGTCCTTACTTTCCATGCAAAAAAATTATTTTTATTTCATGGAAGACTTTTGTTGGATTTTGCAATTAATTTGTATTATTCCCAAATTTATTTCAAACTTATAAAAACTGTTATTGTAAAAAATATTGTTGCAAAAAATCACATACAAACATTCAATGAAAACAATTGCAGTAATGAAAATTCAAGAATAAAAAATTTCAGGATTGCAGGTGTGAATCTGGAATGTTTTTAATTTGCTCAGGAAGTCAGCCTGATTCCAAAATGGTATGTTGGGTTACAGCCTCTGGGAGTAAAATTGAAAAAATGTGACACAGTGACACATTGAAATTGTCATTTATTATATAGATGGTTGGCTACTTGATTCCAAGGACCCACATCTGCTAGGACGGCTGGGCAATCCCTGTTGCAGACACCCACTCAGGCACATTTGTGTCAGAACCCTCCTGTGGTTTATATCGAAACTATGCTTAGTTACTGTTTCTCAGGGAGAGAGCATAATCTGTCAGTTTGAACAATGCCGATATGTGCAACCCCTTGGTCATGATGATTAATAACTTTGTGCTAACACAACCACCGATGGATTCTAAATAGTTTGATCTACCGAATTTCACTTACAATGCTTGAGTCAACTCATGTTATGGATTTTAGGCCATTTTCACAAGTGACACATACTGCAAAGTCCCCTAAACCAGGCTAATAACATCAAGAAGTTATCTTCCTGACAAATTAACCATGGTGAGATTCAAACCCTGGGGTGGGGGGGTCATGGTCAGAAAATAAATCTTCTAACTATTAGGCCATGCACCCATATAAAATTCATATATGAATAAAAATATACCTGTAAAAAGATAATACTAATAAAGAGAAAATTTTTTTTTTCCAAAACGTTTCATTACAAGAGACCCTTATCAAAGTAAATTTAAGGATTCTAGTTTGCAACATGTATTTATAAGCAGAAGTAAAGTCGAGGAAAAATATTAGTTTTCAAAATTTTTTAATTTTAAATGTAAGCATGCTGTAAAATATTCTTCATGTTAACTGTGTAAATAAAGGTAAACTATGGAAAACACCAAGTAATGTAATTTTATGCCAAATAAATGGTAATTCAAATAAAGGGCAATCTTATCAAGAGAAAGATAGTCAAGTGATGTCCCCTTGCAGTTTCTATCATCTTACTATCCAAAGCACTGTCTAATCTACCATACTATCTAATCCGTAGTTTAGATTGTTTTTTATGGCTTATCAACTTTTTTGATGGTTATTTAAAGCCAGACATTATTTTTAGATTGTAAAATATCTTTTAGGGATAATAATGATTTATTGATACGTTCTACTAATTAACCCATAACTGGAGGGGGGAGAAGAGGTGGATTCATACATTTTCTGAGGGTATTTGAACATAAGTGGATATAACGAGTTCAGATGGAATTGGAACTTGTCTCTCTGATTTCCAACTCTGAGCTATTATCCATTACATCACCTACACATCCAAGCTTACAGCCCATGGTATTCCTAAGTGGTCACCCATCCAGGTACTGACAAAGCTTGATGTTGCTTAACTTCAGTGATCGTACGAGAACCATAGTTTGGAGGAAAGAAGATAGAATCATATCCTTTCTGTGGGCATTAGTGTAAAGTGATTGAAACAACCAATGCTGGAATTTGAACTCTTCCTCCAGATTCCATTTTCTCCACAGATAAACATTATGCCATTTCCACATCCTCCAATAGGTATTAAAAATACCGAAACAGTTTTAATACACGGTCTTTGATCCAGCATCAAATGTTTTCGCAATCCAAGATTGATAAATTTATCCTTTGAGGTGACAGCATTGTTTACAATTGCGAAAGCTACTTATGTTGTAATAAATGTAGAAAGATTGAGAATTATTACTTTAATGTCAGAACAAAATCAATTCCCACGTATATTCCATAAATAACCTCATACATTTATGAACATGCAATGAACTTTCAGTATAATCTTTAATAGTAAAACATCTCTTGTGTAAAGATAGGCTTTTGTCAAAATATAGATTAATAAGAGGAATAATAATAATAATAATAACGGCTTAGATGCTTTTCAGTCGGAAATGAGAGAGAGAGAGAGAGAGAGTCAGCAAGAAAGACTCAGTCAGTCGAATTTGTACTGACAATATTGTTATCTTGCAAAAGTGAAACATCTCATATGAATGTAAACAGTATATCCATTTGTTTGTTTTTATATATATATATATATATATATATATAGATATATATACATGAAAACACACACACACACAGATATATACATAATGACAAAGACACACGTATATACATATATGTACAGATACACATACATACATACACACACATATATATATATATATATATATATATATATATATATATATATATACAAAGACACCAACACAAATATACATACAAAGACATACACATGCACCCATATATATATATATATATATATATATATATATTATGAAATGGACCAAGTCCGACAATTATTTTAAGACATTTTTATAGATACAAATATTTAAGTAAATGCTCTGTTTATAATAAACAGTATTAAACAACATTTACTGGCCTGAATGTCCGAAAAATTTTCACAGAAAATATTTGTCCTCCGATTTGGCCACACAGAGGAGTGTTCAGTTAGCAAGGTCACTCCTCTGTGGCCAAATCGGTTAAAGGCACATCAAGCTAAATGACAGTTCCGTATTGGATACAGGTTCGAATCCTATTGGAGGACGAATATTTTCTGTGAAAATTTCTGACCCGAGTGCACTCATCATCTAGAAGGGTACCAGTAGATGTGGAGAGCAGTGTTCAGACAGGTGCCACAACTCAGTTGTGAAGCAGATAGTAGACAGGCAAGGTGGTGCTGATAGATAGATATGTGTATATATTTAAAATAAAACTCAGACCATTGAAAATTAAAAAGATATCAAATTATCTAATATTTTCAACTCTACAAATAAAAATAAATAAGAATCCAACTATTTTACTGATTAGAGAGAATTTTTATTTTTCCAACAAAGCTTTACATTACAATCATGTAAGAAAATGAAAAAACAAAAAGAAAAAAAAACAGGACAACAGATAATACTGGGTAAAAAAAAAAAAAAAAAAATTTTCATAGACTCTCCAGATAAAAATCCAAAGAGGAGATGTTGAAAAACTAAGTTAAAACTACATTGGGAAAAAAATCAATATTTTTGGCAACTGATTTTGAAACTCAGGCTGAAATCTTTTCAGCATGTCCTTTCAAGAGATATTCACAAAGATGAAAAACCTGACCTATTCACTCAATTTTGGAATCAACAAACTCAATTTAGAATTGTTTGTCTTGGTAGCAGATCAGAATTTTTTCAGCCTAGTGTTTGAATAAAAGAAAATAAAAAGGTCTTCAAAATCAGATAAAAACAAAACTTACAAGAATCAGACAAGAAAATCCAGTAGTTCCCAGTATCATTCATTTTAGACTAGTATTTTCTTATTTTATTTCTCTTGCTTTTCCACCAAGTAGTAATAGTCTTAAGTTGTCTGAATTTCTTAGATGAAGCCTTGGCAATTATTATTCATTTTTCACTAGTATTTCTTTCATCTTATTTCTCTTGCTTTTCCACCAACTAGTAATAGTCTTAAGTTGTCTGAATTTCTTAGATGAAGCCTTGGCAATTATTATTCATTTTTCACTAGTATTTATTTCATCATATTTCTCTTGCATTTCCACCAAGTAGTAATAGTCTTAAGTTGTCTGAATTTCTTAGATGAAGCCTTGGCAATTATTATTCATTTTTCACTAGTATTTCTTTCATCTTATTTCTCTTGCTTTTCCACCAAGTAGTAATAGTCTTAAGTTGTCTGAATTTCTTAGATGAAGCCTTGGCAATTATTATTCATTTTTCACTAGTATTTCTTTCATCTTATTTCTCTTGCTTTTCCACCAAGTAGTAATAGTCTTAAATTGTCTGAATTTCTTAGATGAAGTTTTGGCAATTATTATTCATTTTCACTAGTATTTCTTTCATCTTATTTCTCTTGCTTTTCCACCAAGTAGTAATAGTCTTAAGTTGTCTGAATTTCTTAGATGAAGCCTTGGCAATTATTATTCATTTTGACGAGTATTTCTTTCATCTTATTTCTCTTGCTTTTCCACCAATTAGTAATAGTCTTAAATTGTCTGAATTTCTTAGATGAGGCATTGTCTTCCTTGGAAAGTCAGTAGTTAGAAAGAAACAAATGACATTAATCCATCATTCATCTATATGACATCAAAATAAACTGGGAAAAATTTTAGAATAAAATTCTTCTTTATTTTAACCTGTGAGAAAGAAAAATACATATAGAATGAAAATAAACTCATTCAGGGAGAATTCTCTTTCTTCATCTGTGATTCACTCTCATAGAAGAGATTAGAGCTGAGTAAGCAAGGAGGACCTTTAGAATTCACCTGATTTTGGTTGAAATGGCCAAAACCCCATGATAATCACGTGCAAAGTAGTAGGGCCAAGGTTCAGTTGTAACCAGCTGCACTTTTCTATATAAGCGCATAGTTATGCTGAAAAAGAGACAGACAGAAGAGAATTAGCCTGGGCAAGAGTTGGGCTAGAGACAGTGGAGAGTCGAGTTGGGGACTCAAGAAGGAGAGAACGTAATGTCAGAGTTTGGAATGAAGCATCCACTAACATGTACTGTTGATATAAGTATCGCTGTTTCTGCTAACATGAATATTACTACTACTGTTACTACTGCTAAGGATGAATGCCACTATAAACTTTAAGCCATGCACAGAAATCTTATTCCCCCATCGCAAGAGTCGTATATCATTCTGAGTTCATCATAACACATTCTCTCTCTGTCCAGAATTCAGTGTATGCGTTTTTACTTTTTTCTGTAACCCGTTTCTTTTCTATACTATTCTTTTCTGATCTATAAAAGACATCAACAATTCAATCATTGAATAGTTGTTTGTCCGGCTTTCTGCAGATATTAATTTTTTTTTTTTTTGATGCATTCTAAATTTCTTAGCGTAGACTCTCCAGGCATGTCTATCTCTTCAGTCGACCGTGAATGGATGAACAACATTTCTGCTTTCTGGATCAAACCAAACACAATGTGGGCAGGACTCAGAATTAAACCAGTTGACCGGTCGAATAATTTACGGATGCTCAGGAGACCTATGGCCACTCCCTTAAGTTCGGTTAGGACCGAGCAGACAACTCAACCCAGAGAGTAAGACGTCGGAGGTTGAGGGACTGGGGCGAAAGGATTAGACAGAGAGAATTCTCTTTCTTCATCCGTGATTCACTCTCATAGAAGAGATTAGATATTCAATAAACAGAACAACAATAATGAAACATTGACACAGTTGTGTCAATTTTAGTCAAGATTATGAAATCATTATGAACTCCATTATCATGTCAATATCTGTATAGTATGTGATAAAAAATGGCATATAGCCCTGGTGTATTATTTAGTGTTGGTCTTCTAATAGACTGGTTGCATTCCATTGCTAGAGAACTCAGTTCAACTTGCTATTTAATCCATAGCTGGGAGGGGACGAGATGGATATGCACAGAAGTGAATGCAACAAATTTGACTGAAATTCGAACTCATATCACTGGTTACTCATTTAGTGCCGCTACCGCTACACACACCTGTGTTAGGTTGGGCAGGTGATATACACAGGTAGAATTGATATTCATCAAGTGTAATGCCATGGATACATTTTTGATTTCTTTTAGTTCTATGTTTTCATGATCTGTTCTCTCAATATGAACAAGACATCACTTACTTCCTGTGAACGTATCTCCATCCGATTTATACTCTAATTAGAAACTTCTGTCACTCACAGCATCTTGAACTTTACAAATCTGACTACCCAATTATATACTCTGGCCCTCAGTCAAACAGAAGTGGCAGGAGGTGATATCGTCATTTAACTATTACTGTAATCTTATAGATGGTCCAATAAGAATATATTTTCTATAAATATTTTCATGGTAAGTGTTCTAAAGATCTTTCCTCATTGGTACCTTGACTTCACTGCTGCTAGGAAAGTTAGTTGACTGTGTCATGCCAGGAAGTATTTTTTCATTTCACATTTATTAATGACTAGCAGTAGAGCCCGGCGTTGCCCGGGGATGTAACAGTAAGAGATAGATCAAGTATCAACCATCATAAAGACTGAAAAATAAAATTGACAAAGATTATTGTTTAAGGTTGACGGACATGCATGTCTTAATTAGTTTTTTTTTTGGTTTTTTTTTTTTACGAATTGGTCAAACTCAAACAAAAATATTGTTTTCAATCGTTATGAGACTCTACCGATTGAATAGAATTTTATTATAAACAATTGTCTTGTAAATGGAATATTTTAAAGCATTCTGAATGTAAAAATAAAGAAAAAAGTATGCAAGACAATAAGAAACACTACCTGGCAAAAAAAAAAAGTGAATTTTTTTTTAAATCGGTTGAAAAATGTAGGAAATCCAATCCCATATATAAACGAACACACACACACACACACACACACAAACAACCTGGGTTTTATAATAAGTATAACTCGATATGAGTTGTCCC